TGCAGTCTTGTATATTAAAATTCATTAAATAATTAGTTATACCAACATAAATAGGAATCAATATCATCATTTAATCAAACCAATTGGTATTTAAAATTTTAGAAATTAATTTTTTTATGCATATATTGGTCTTTGTAATCTTGCAGTGCTTGGTGATATCGGCTTTCAATGAAGTACTTGAAGTCTGCTTATTACTTTGCAATTAGTTATTACTTTGCAATTAGTCATACTTTATTGTAATATTTTTTTTTAAAATATAATTTTCAGAAACTCGTTTGAAAATAAATGGTTTATGAATTTCTCTGTAATGCCCTTTGCTCAATGATGAAATATTGTACTTTTACTAAAAAAGAAGTTTTTTATGCATGCACGTTCCCACTCGACATTAGCATTTACTGTATAAAAAGTTCTATCATACGCAAGTTACGCATCATAGATATAAGTTGAGTCATGGCTTAATAAGTTGATTGATGCGTGAGGTTTTATTTTAAAATTGTATTCTAGGGAAAATTACTACTTATAAAAGAGTTGCATTCTCCTGATCACTTGAATTGAAATATTTATAATCATTACCATTGCATTTAACGTCAAGAGCGAATATTGAAACATTAAAAACACATTTATTCGTTCTCTATCCTCAATATCCCACCCAAATGTGAATGGTTTTGTATTTTTTTATCACCCAGTTACAAGGAGAACATTTCTTCTACTTAATAAACCTTTTAAATTCTTGGACAATCATCGATCTTTCCATTGTTGTACAATTATATTCGATCCAGCTCCTAATGGAGCAGAACTATACATGGTGTTGACTAAAGACGAATAATTCTCTGGTGCTGCACAGGAAAATGTAAGTAGGTGAACTTATTTAATTCATCACATGTTTTTGGTGGCCTCGCCATTGTGACCAAACCATGCATGCACTTACTCGAATTTTTTCAAACTTGTTGGGTAAGACCAGAAACCCTAGTGCTCTCCGATCACTTGATCGCTTTCCATATCGATCACTGTGTACATGCACTATGCACATATTATAATTTTCCTACACGTGAACGTACCACGGGCTCATCCTTGGCCTCTTTTGTTTATTATTAGAGAGAGACATGACAAGTAAACTAGTGACATTTTATGTTAATAAAATAAATATATATCGTTTAGATATTTTTTGTTTTATTAATATGGGACTTTAAATGGCACTGTATTTGTATCAAATAAGGCGTTATAGTTATTGAAAGCATTGTTTCAAATATCAATCGGTGAAAATCTCAATATGTATTTGTGAAAATATCGATGAATATGTCGATATTTGTTGCTTTCAAAGGAAGTTTAAAATGAAATTTTAGAGAATATTAAACATTGGTTTAAATGAAATATAAGAGTTTCTCCGATATTTAACTGATATGTCGAAAATATTAACAAATTTGTGTATCTTAGCTGGAATTTAAAATTTTCCTGATATGAGGTGAAATTTAATTTCAAACACTGATAAGAATCATGTATATGTGTATAACTACTACACCATGTGGAAAAGTAGATATTGAAAAAAATAAAATAAAAGGAAGACAATGAAAGAAAGTGAAAGAAAATGATGGTTCACAATTTTTCTGGCTCCATGCAATCCATTCGTTGATTTTTTAAGGGTGTCAAGAGATAGCGACTCATTGGATAATCAATTTTTAAGTGTAGATGAGCCAGCCAAGTGTGTGCTGTGTTTTCTATATTTTAGTTATGAGACCAAACTTGTTCTTAATTTTGTTAAGGTTAACAATAGTTTTGTGACAAATTGATGAAGTAAGAACATACGTGGTTTATGCATTTATTTATTGTACAACTAGAAACCTACTATGCTAAATGTATTGTTTTTGTTTGATTTATTTATTTTTACTTTTAAAGGGGAACAACTAGTCGCAAATCACGGTTATCCACCCATTTCAAAGGTCGGGAAGACTCGCAGAGGTATTTCAACCTCTCCCTGGCTACAAATCTGGCTTACAAACCAGCCTTTTTTTTTTTGATTTATTTAATTTGATAGTAACAAGTAAATAAAAATGTCTAAGAGGTTAAAAAAGACGTGTGAAAATCAGTTTTCTTTTTAGATATTGTATATATGAGCTCTTGCACACCTTACAATCTAGTTTTGTTGGAGCAGGTTCTACGTACAAGATTCCTTTTGCACATGTGCGCGCAATTCCAGTCTGTGGCTCAAGTTGGTGCTGGAAGTGACTCATTTATCTACTCTATTGGGGATCCTCTTAAACAATTTGGCAACTCATTTGTCTACTCCATCAGAGATATTCTAAGTATACAACTCGTTTCATAATATTCATGTACTGAACTAAGCCACCAACAGTTATTAACATTTCAGAAAATCATTATCACTACGATTAATTATTTGGACTGTCAATGTATTGTTGAGTAGGTGTAGATTGTAGGGTTCAATCTGTATGTTTGTAATGCTTCGCTCTACGTACAAATCAATCACTGATAAACTGCCATACATTGATTCTAGTTGCGCTGGTAGAAATTAAAGATAAAAGATGATCGAACAAGTGAGGTTTATGTCTGAGGTTTGAGGTAATTTGGATTGTTGAAGATGGTTCACGTAAAATCGCTTGAAATTGATAACTTCCAGCACCGCACCTAAAGTATTTAGGTAGTTTGGGCCTGTAGTGGACCTTGCCTCCACGAAGCGTTAGCTCCTCAGTTCTTATAGGGACTCGGCTGTGCTTTTTTTTCCCTGGTTATGCTTCATCTTCAACCTTATATTGCTCCAAATTTTAGTATGTTGAGTGTGTTTCCCTTGCATCCGTTAGCTCCTTCATTTACTCCTGTTTACTGGCAACTACCACTTGAGATTGGGTGAAGGTAAATACTAATGGGTTCGGCAGGATATGGTGGAGTGTTTCGAAATTCTAATGGTGTGTGGGTGGGGGCTTTTAGGGCAAATGCACATGTTGCTAGTGCTGTTGAAGCTGAAGTTCTTGCAGGTTTGGAGGCAATCCGTGTGGCATGGGTGCGTGATTGGCACCATGTGTGGTTGGAAACAGACTCCTTTGTACTGTAATGTTATTCATAACATGTTTTTGTACCACATTTTCATACCATCTTGGGTGACATTTGATGTGGACAGTCACATCATTTGAATTAATTAGATTTTTTTAATTTAGTTCATTATTTAATAAACTAATAATTAAGAAAAACTAGTTAATTAAATAATGATTGTGGTATATAAGAAGTATTTCTCCTTCCTTTCCTTGAGTTTTGCGAATTTTTCAAATGATATGGTTGTCTACATCAGATACCACCTAAGATGATATATAAATATAATACAAAAACATGATACGAATAACATTACTCTTAGTTTTTTTACATCTCCTTCTCCTTCTATTTCGTGGAAGTTACGTAATGATTGGGCAAATTGTATGTGGCGTGCTTCTAGGTTGCATTTCCATATCTCACATATTTTTTGTGAAGGTAACAGAGTAGCGCGAATTATGGAGCTGGCCACTCCGATTACTCATGGTGAGATTTTGTTCTTAGAAATCCGGCCATATTCAATTAGAATTTTAAAGAATATAACATTTTAGGTATATTCAATTATGAATTTGGAGGGAATTAGAGAGATTTCGTCGTGTATTTTCAGTATTCACAAATCTCACATCTTTCAAAGAGATTTCGAGAGAATTGAAATAAAATTTTACATAAAATCTCTACAAACCAATTAAACTCTATCAAAATCCATGATTTATAAATTCATTAGAATCCCTCAAAATCTCAATGGTATATACCCTCCTTAAGAGTAAGATTAGAGTTGTAGTCCAACGACCTAGCTTAATTGTGTTTACTCTCAATAGGACAAGCAACAACAATAGATGAGAGAGATCAAGCCACTTATACGATGCAACTGCTCCCCATATCATGGAGGCAATCAGTTTTTAACGAGTTTGTAACCAACACCAATTCAAAGTTTCGAGTTCCAATATTTCGCTTCATTAACCAATTATGTATATAATGTGTATTAGCTCTAAACATATCACAATCCCTCACTTACTTGTCCGACATACCAAAACCAATAGCATGTGAAACACTTTGAAAGAAATTTCAAAGTTGACATGCATTTGTTTAGGAAGACTGTTGCCCCCTTCCAATAGAGGAAGTTCAAGAATTAATTGGTTTCTATATCAAAAGAAAACGTAGTTAATTAACCACAAGTGTATCACTTATAAAATGATTTTTAATTGGTCATTTTTCTGTACGACGATATTTACATAAGTTTCTACCTCAAAAGTATATATCCCAAACTTGAAACGAGGTTAAAGTCGAATAAAAAAGTCTGCAAAATAAAAATACATAAATACTAATCTTCAAGTGTAGATAAAGTCATTATCCACGTTAAAGCTAGAGTTAAACATCTTTTACTGTATAAAAGTGCAACGAGTACTGATATGTAGAGTCATCAAGGTTCTAAAAGACACTAGGTGCTGGTTGGGCAGCGGCTGAGATCTAGTGCCTATGCGGATTTAATTAAATCTATTATATTTCGTGTAAATAAGTGTTTATTTATATTTAAAATATATATAATTTCATCATAAACTTCAAAATAGAATGACATATATATTATGAGCTATTGGAACATAATGAAAACATTGGAAACAAGCATATACTGTGTGTTTATTTAAGTATTCAACAAGTCTCTTACAATTTATTGAAAAAAATAAAATGCAAAATGAAAGTTATCTATTTTCTGTCTAAGTGAGTCGCAATCTAGACGATCTTGGCAGGTTAGGTGGGTGCCTAGGTGTTCTAGGGGGGTCAGTAGGTCTAAGCGCCATTTCTTAATTTTCAAATGCCTAGGCATTAATCAGGGCGAGGCCTAGGTGGCGCTAGGCAGAGATTTTTAGAACAGTGAGAGTCACATATATATGTGTGTGTGTGTGTGTGGAAGGAGATAAGCACTTTGTAATTAAGAAGAAACCTAGCTTCCGATCCAGGAAACTACAATGGCTGATTCCTTGGAGCAGAGGTTTAATAGATTGAGGGATGCAGGAACAAAAAATCAGGATAGTTCTACAAGTGTTGTTCCAAGCAGGTCACGACCGATCATCCAAAGTGTTTCCAGAACTCTCCGAAGTAATAAAAATTTGGAGAAATACTTTGAGCCAAGGGTACTAGCAATAGGCCCTATCCATCATGGAAAGTTTCCGGAATGGGAGGAGCTCAAATACAGATTGGCAGCGGACTTCGTCAACGACAGCGGCCGGAGCGAAGAATTTTTGTACAAGGAGATTGAGGACAACATCAAGGAGTTAAAACAATGCTACGACGAGAAAACAACAGAGCGCTATGATGGTGATGAGGCGAGCCTCGCCTGGATGTTTTTCGTAGACGGTTGTTCAATCTTGCAGTTTATACACAAGTATTCTACCTTGGAAGAGTTTGAGATAAAGAGAGACCAAGTGTTCTTTGCTGAACAAGACTTGTTCTTGCTAGAGAACCAAATCCCTTATGAAATCCTCAACCTTTTGATGAGCTCAAGCATAAAAAATGAGGACCTTTGGAACGGAATCCAGGTGTTTCTTGATATGCATAGTACTGCAGCTTGTGCATCAGCGAAGCCGTTCAGATGGTATAAAAGGATGATGCGACAAGATCTGAAATTTGAATGGCGTTTGGGAGTATGTATGGAAGATTCATGGCCTACTCACCTTCTCGAGCTTCTTCGAACAAGAATGCTAGGTCCAAAAAAAAAAATGGCGGCGAGGCAGCTGATAATGTACTTCTTCCACCATCATTTCGCAACGCGCAGGAGCTTAAGGCAGCCGGGATCCATTTTAGGTGCAGTGAAGGTATGCGTGACATATCTTTTAAATCACTATGCTTTGCAGGATTTCTCTTTCTTCCACCAATGAACGCGGACGCAATGCCTTTGTTCTTGAGTTTGATTGCTTACGAAATGTGTCCCGATTTCCAAAATGATTACGCGGTCACCTCTTACTTAAGCTTCCTGAGTTCACTCATTACTCATCCCGAAGATGCAAAGCAGCTAAGGTCAGCCCGCATACTTCACAATAAACTCGAAACTGACGAAGCACTCGCTCAACTCTTCAACGAGATAGGCCCTGATTTGGTATCAAACCCTTCGATAATTCACATCAGTAGCAGATTAGAAAAGCACTACAAATCCAAGTGGAAGGCATGGATGGCTCAGTTCTTTGAAGATCATTTCAGTAGCCCCTGGGCCATGCTTGCGTTCATCGGTGCTCTAACGGCACTTTTCTTGAGCGCCATCCAGACTTGGTACTCAATCATCAGTTATCATCATCCTAAATCTTAGGATTCTCTGTTGGTATTTTCAAAGCTAATATCGAAGAGAAAATCACGGCCTCGTCCACCTTCATACGATCTGTTTGTATTCATTCTCGCTATTTCGATTTCCTTGTAACCAGCTCATTAAGATTATGTTCATTCTATTAAGTTGGCCTTCGAGGAGGCTTAGCAAATCCTTTGGTTTGTTGATTATCAAGCGTGACATTGTTGAATTCTGCCAACAGAAATATGTATTGTATCTAGAATATATTATATGAATATTAAAATACTTGCATCACAAGTAATAAAACTTCTTTTATAAGGGATTGTATCAATGTTTGGCTTAAACTTTATATTATATTTTTGTTGTTTGATGTGTATTTTTATTTCATGTCTCAAAGTTAAATTTTTTTATTTTATTAATATGCACATTGTAGTTCTTCCAATTATAAAATGAGGCTAGTGGCTCTTTACCACAATGGTAGAAAGGCGTTGAGCTATTGTATGACAGCGTAAATTTGAATCTCTCCAATGACTAAACCCTAATATCTAATCTAACAAAATGTATTGTTTAATAAAAAAAAAATTAGAAAATGAGAAAATATTGAGAGACATTAGTGACCCATAAAAAAACATCGAAAATACAATAAACCTAAATGGGCTGGCAGTTACTTTAATCCGGCCCAAACCCGAGTCTGACTGGGTGTTGTTGTCCGATCAAAACCCTAGCAGCTCTGCATAAAACCTCATTTCACTATCCTCCTTGCTTCATTTCGCATTCGGCTGCAAATTTACCCTCTCTCTCCGCACTCTGCAGATCCAGAGCCCTCTCAAGTACTCTCTCTCTCTCTCTCTCTCTCTCTCTGGATTTGAGAGACTAATAGCCATTTTTACTGATTAAATTTGTGTTTGACAGGCAGAGATGAAGGTGGTCGCTGCATACTTGTTGGCTGTGTTGGGCGGCAAGACCACCCCTACCGCCGAAGATATCAAGGACATCCTTGGCTCCGGTAACTTTCCCTTTTGCCCTCTTGTGGTTCTTTTGCTCGTTCTGTTTATAACCTATCGAAGATTGCGACTTTGTGGTTTCGTAGTGCGATATTGCGTGTTGATTTGTAAATCCCATTTCTGTATTCGTATTTTCTATGTGGGTTTTGAATTTTGATCCCTATCAGGTTGAGATTTTATTTTTTGATTTTTTGTGAACCTGAATATTTGGAAGTGACAAGGAATTGGGTTATGTGGATGTGTTATTTTTCGGTGTTGAATCATGGCGATAATGATTGCCTTTCTGTATTAATGTACGTATGGAATTGGATGGTTCGACTTTAATAGTTTTGGTTATTGTTTGTTTGTATTTTTATGTACTGGAATAGCAATCCATATGACATATCTCTTTTTTGGTAAGATGAAGCAATTGAATGCCGTTATAATACCCATATTTCCTGAAATTCTGTTTGGTTGCATATGGTTATCGGTCTGACGACTTCTAGGCCTCGTTTGGCCTCTAGGATTGGATTGGATTGGATAACACCTAAGTTAAATGTATATTGAAGGTAGAAAGCAATTATTAGAAGAGGATTAGACATGGAGGAATCTTGTGCCTTCTAATCCTACCATTTTGGATGATTGGAATGACAAATTCTCTTAATGAGTAATCCTTCGCTCTAAACATATGCATTTTGATCTTCAACATACCTTTATTTAAGTGGGTTATCCATTCCAATCCAATCCTAGATACCAACTGAGGCTCAAGAGGATAGCAATTTATTAACTGTATTGGAGTTGTTGAATGCTTATGTTGTCTGTGCTTTCTACTCTGGATGTTAACATTAGGAATCATGGTGTTGTGTCTATACAAGGTATTATTGAGTCTGAAAATTTGGTATTGTTTACAGTTGGTGCTGAGGCTGATGATGACAGGATTCAACTTCTGCTCTCCGAAGTCAAGGGTAAGGACATCACCGAGCTAATTGCCTCTGGAAGGGAAAAGTTGGCCTCCGTGCCAGCTGGTGGAGGTGGTGCTGTTGCTGTTGCTGCAACTGGCGGTGGTGGTGGTGCTGCTGCTGCCCCTGCTGCAGCTGAGGCAAAGAAAGAGGAGAAGGTTGAGGAGAAAGAGGAATCCGATGATGTAAGTTACCTGGATAATCTCATTAATATTGGTTTGATGCTTTAATGACTGCTAATCCAATTCTGTTGCTATTATTTCTTAAGACGTATATGATTAATAGCTTCCATCTCAACATGATTTGTACATGTGCATGGCGGCAACCTTCTGTTAATATGGTCATGTAAATTCAGTAGACATTTGCCTTTGTTTGAGTTGTGGAACATTCAGATGCACGTTTGAGTTGTGGATACATCAGACGACGATATAGTTTTCTTATATTTCTCGTTTTTTTCCTTGTTGCAGGACATGGGATTCAGTCTCTTTGACTAGAGCGGTTGGAGTGCATACATCCCGGTTTTCTCTGTTGGAGTTAAATAGAAATTTTTATTCAGTTGAATGTTCGGTTTTTGGATCTTAGCCAGTAGAAGACATGATCACAATCTAATATGCAGTTGGTTATGGTTATGCAATTGTGGTGGATTTGAATCTTCTTTTCTATCCAAGTTTATGAATCTTTTGTCTTCCTTCTATGCCAATTGCTCTTGCAAATTGGTGAGTAGCTTTATTTATTTTGTTTGCAGTTGAATGACTTACATGGCATGAACACACCTGCCATTGTAATCTCGTGCCAATAGTGTAACGACGTTATTTTATTATTGGCACGAGATGCTACACATGACGTCATTTTACAGTTTAATGAGACGATTGAAGCGAATTCAATGGCCTTAAACGACTACTATTTTGACTTCAAAAATGTTGGAACTCAAAGGTTGAATTCGTAAGTATAAGCCCAAATCGAACCAATGTTTGTTACAACACCCTCTCATTCCCAACATTTCTAACCACCTTTGTCTCAGTAAAACAGACTGGAAACAGAAAGTAGTTTTCGGAAAATTGAAAAACCGAAAACTGTTTTCTTACTTTCAGTTTTCAATTTTCAAAAAAAAAAGAAAAGAAAATTGAAAACGAAATGATTATCAAACGGTCCTTGTGGCGTGAGGCCGGATTTTGTGAAGAAAACAAAAATCTACACAAACCAGTTGTTCGGATGAATGTGAACTAGATGAATATAGCAAAAAATTAACCCTTAATTTCAAAAATGTCGCTTTTTATAAAAAAATTTCAAATATATTCAAATCTCACTTAGGTGACAAATACCCTCAAGTTGAATTATCCAATTAACTAAAAAATTATTAGATGAAGAATTAGAGAAAACCCTACTCAAGATTTTTGAAATCTTTTATAAAAACTAACATTTTTGAAATCAAGGGTTAATTTTTTGCTATATTTGATAAATTCTAGATTGAATATGAATCACCTCTATCATTTGGCAATGTAGACAACATTGGTTTCCAAGCCAATCTAATCATATCCAATCCAATTCAAGTCACTCAGCAGAATCACATCGATATTTTCGTCAACTTGCATATCACGCTCACAACCAATCACACCCACTAGCACAAGAGGCAGAGTTTATTACAAAAGATCTTGGTGCGATTATATATTGTTTTTATTTTTGTCAGAAATTCTTACTTTCGTTCAACAATTACAATAACAATAAACACTGTAAACACTGAACATATGACTGAAGCCATTGAAATCCCAAATTATCTCTAAACCTTCATCAAGAAGCTATAATCCATTTATTTTTCCCACCACAAATGAAGGTTAAATCTTACTAGCGAAAGAGAGACCTTCCGTAGCAAGCTGATCTAAACTGGCAACAGGAGGTTGGGCCTTTGCAACTTTGGCAATAGCCTGGTTTTCCTCCGGTGTGCCGCCCTCCAGAAATGCTCCGACCACCTTCCCATCTTTAATCCAGTATGATCCAAACTTCGCCTTTGGTGTGGCAGGATTACTGTCGCCGAAGAGCACAGTTTCACCAACATTGTCACCATAGAATTGCCATGAAAGATCGAAGGAGCGGGAATAGAAGAATGGAAGGTAGTCATACTCCTCAACTGTCTTCCCTTCCTCGCTTGCCTTGATGGCCTGCAGAAATCAATGACAATAATATAATTCACACGCCCACGTGCAGAAGCCTTTCAACCCGAAAACATGACAGATTTGACAGAATGATATAGATGGGTTCGTAGTTGAAAATTCCATACCTTTACAGCCTGCTCAGCAGATTTGCGTGCATGGTCAACATGCTCAACTCTCCTAATCTCATTGTACAACTTCAAAGGAAAAGTGGCGACATCACCCACAGCATATACATTTGGAACACTTGTTTTGAAGAATGCATCAGTCTGCAATCAACCGGCACATATTAAAACGGATGCCATGAAACATTCACTACAGAAACAGGATGACTGATCAAATGTTGAAACTGAAAATATATATCCAATATGATGAAAATACAAACACGACGAAATCCTTGAACCTTTCTTTCGCTATTGTTTACTTAATATGGGCTAAAACAAGTGCTTATCTGTGTGATTAACCAGTAAAGGCTATGAAGATTGATACTGCCAAGGACTCCAAGCATCATAAAAATAAAGATACCGGAAAAGGGGAAGGAATCAAGTGATTTCGGAAGTTGCACGACCTTAATGCCACCTTTCTCTTCTTCGACTTGTCCCTTGAACAATGTTGTCAGGGGCCTGCCCCCAACACCAACAACAACGATGTCAGCTTCAAGCACGGTGCCATCCTTTAGGTGCACTTCCTTAACCTATATTATGACAAAAGTCAATATTCGAAAGGGCAGTTTCATCGAAGCATGACATCCAAAACGACAAGCAATCGTGTATGCACCTCTCCATTTGAGTCAGCAGTAAATCCAGTCGCAACTGTTCCCTTGATGATTTGAACTCCTTTGTTTTTATAATAGCCCTCATAAAAAGCAGCAATATCAGAAGTGAAAAGCCGAGGCACTGCAAGGACAAGGAAAGATTAGAGGAATGAGGCACATAGAATAGAAAGAGTGGCCAAACTCATATGCATACAAAACAATAAAAAGCTTGAAGCACTATTCACTTACTGCACCATGGTTCCGGGTAAACCATTTTAACATCTAAATTGTTAATTCTCAAAACTGCACCAAGCTCGAGACCTATGTACCCTCCTCCAACAATCACAGCCTTCCCATTCTTTTTCGCTTTAATTGCTTCGTTGAGTTTATCGGCATCATCAATTTCTCTCAAATAGAAGATGTTTTTGGCATCAGCTCCTTTGACACCAAAATCTGTCAGTCTTATAACCTACGAAAACATAAAATCCATTTGATTTGGTATACAAAGCTAGTTCGCTCAGAAAAGCTGAGGCATGGAAAATTCCTGGAGTTGCTTACGGTTGAGCCGGTGGCAATGACGAGAGTCTCATACTTGAAGGATTCCCCAGTTCCACTGACAAGAGTCTTCCCAGGAAGATCTGCTTTAACTATTTCAGTGCTAAGAATCAATTCTATTCCTGAAATTATAAAATTATGCCTCCATCAGAATGCTGCATTCTAAAAGACCCAGAAAATGGAAGATCAGAAAATTGTTAAAATGAATTTGGGACAATAACAAGTAATAGTGGTTTTCACCGCGTCTAAATACTCCGGAAAGCTCTCAAACATTCTCCAATCAAAATTGGTGTATGCTGTACTGTGAAGAAGAAAAACATACCTTTCTCCTTGTACCAGTCAGGAAGCAATCTTTCTCCTCCACTTCCAACGCAGACATGAAACCCAGGAAGTCTAGCAGGAGCTGCAAGACCAATCCCAACAGTAAGTTACAATGTCACAGAAAGTGATGAACTTAAAAATGAGGTTGCTCTATGTTGACGTGTCAGGTGCAAGTAAGAATCCAGAGGTCATAAGACACAATTCTGCTTAATTTAAGCACTGGACATTTGGAATAAAAGTCACACAACTTACACTCGGGGAAGAGATAAGCCTTGCTGAGTGCAGGACGTTCATAGGGAGCCACCTGGAAATAAAAGAAATAAAATTTAAGAATTTTTGAGAAGTTAACTACGTAATAACATTTGAGAAGTTAACTACGTAATCAAACAGAATTAAATTCCACCGCCATTAGAGGATAACTACTTCAAACAGCAGTAATAACATTTAGTACAGAAAGTATACAGGTAGCAAAAAATGAGCATCGACATAAATAACACAAAAGAGAGTATCTTAACCAAAGTTTAATGTGAAAACTGAAAAGCACATCATCAATTAAGCAAGCAGTCGGCAATACTCATCATACTAGATGTAACACTACCACAATTCACATTTTCTAACCTCGTTACCAAAATTCACTACTGATTGCATTAAAATCCGAAAAGAATATAATTTTGCTCAATAATATCTCAAATATTCAGTCAACTGGATACAAAAACACGTGAAAGCGATCATTGGAAGACATACCGCCTCTTTGGAAATGACCGCTAGTTCGCCTGGCTTAAGCCCCTGCTTGGCAAACTCCCGAGCTGCATAACCCTATAGATTTCGAAAACAAACGCATATAAAACTTAAATATTGATCAAGGCTTCCACAGTACAGCAAAATCATCACAAAAAACAGTTTTTGAAGCGTGATCAAAATTATAAAGGAATTTATTTGTCATAATTACCATAATTATGTACTAAAACAACTACAACAGAAACGCATTGACTTCAAGAGCATCAAGTACTCAAAATTTCGTAAATAAAAAACGGAAATTGAAAAAATCAGATTCGATCTATGCAGATACTTCAAATTCAAAGACAGAATTATGTACCTCATCAGGATCGACAGAAAACTCAAAAAAAAAAAAAAAAAAAAAAACGAAAATAATGCACAAAATTAACAAAATTCGATCAAACGGACAAGAATCGATCGCAAAGAAACTTACAGCTGAGACTCCGCCGCCGAGGATGACGTACTTGAAGTTCTTCGCCGCCATTGATGGTTGATCGGACGAACGAAACGCGCGTTTCGATTCTTCTTCTTCGCTTTGAATTCAGTTGGTGAAGACGTGAGAGGGATGCGATAAGGTTTTGTGAGCTCAGTGATTGTCAAACTATTTATATGGTGACCGGTGCTTCCTCATTGGACAGTTTGGACTAACCTACGTCCCCCGTGTTAACGGAGTTTTTCCACGTGGCGAATCAAAACACCGTACATCTCTGCTGCCTGTGCAATCGCCACGACAACCGATCCGTCCGTTTAATATTGCCCAAAAAAATATTTAGTTTCTAAATAATAAAAAATATAATTTTCTGAAATTTCATTTTAAATAATAAATATATAGTCCTTATTAGCCCCGTAATAATATCTCCTTTGATGTCTAAGATTGAAATGGCTGATACTCTAAATTCAGTGTACACCGAATAAAAAATGAATATCTATTTTTAAATTTTATCTGAATTTATTCTTTCAATTCTCATAAAAACTGCTAGATAAGAATGAGAAAGTTTACTTCATGCTTAATTCATTGTGAACCTTTTAACTGTGGAAAAAGAAATTAGAAGTTGATTTGTTTCTTTCTTCAATAAATATTGAATCTAATGAGCTATTCAAGTCACATTCATTTATAAAACAAACTAAGCCTAT